GTCAACGAGTTGTTCTGACACTTACCGTTGTATGTAACTAGCTCATTATATAACACTGCTCTTATCAATTACGTTTGCTTTTGCCTTATCAGCTCCTGTCTTCTCTAGTTGATCTTCACGATCAAGTGTTTGATCTTTTCCCGCCAAAAACCTTGGTGTGTGGCCGAAAAGGATCGGACACTTCAGTTGCCTTTTCTAGAGCTCGCAGCGGTTGGTTGCCCCAATCCTGCTCTCCGTCCGGAGCTGTCGTCTCTATTACCTCGAATATTCTTCTACTGTATTCCTCGTATGGTAACGCCCTGCCTGGTCGAGTTGTCAAGGCTGTCGTAGACGCTTTCCTCTACCACACCGAGGCGTGATAGTACTAGTGGGTCTTTCCCACCTCACAGATCGGGTTGTTAAGGCAGTCTCAGACGCCTTCCCTGGTCCTCCATCCCTGGGCAGTGAGGCCGCCAGGGGAGCCTTCGTTAAAAGGGTCACTCAGCTAGTGGGTTCCCGAAGATTTTAAGGGATGTTCCCCTTTCTCGGACGGATCTTCCCCACATGCGTGCGAATCCCAGGGTGATTCCATGGGGGTCGTCTAGAAAATCGATATCCCGCCCGGCAGGGCCGCTCACTCCCCTCTCTCCCAAGACCATCGTTGGGGCAGCTAGGGAGTAGATGATCGATCAGGGGCCCTCTCAAATATTACTCGTTCAGTGCCGTTGTGTTATCGGACACCGAGTTAGCCCTGCAACTACACCCTTTTTTTCAGATGTCGGATTTAGAGTCCGACCACCTAAAAGAGCTCGAGAAGATTTTGCTGGACGATGATCAACTCTCTGACGGCCACCTTCAGGACGACGCATTAGGAGAGCAGAGACGGCCAGCAAAACGTGTAAGAGGCCGTGCATCTCGAAATCGTCGTAAGAGGAAACGTCGTTCGCATGGTCGGTCTTCATCGTCGGACTCATACGATTCGTCAACAGGCTTATCAGACGACTCGGAATCAGATCCTCTTCTCGAAAGGAAATTGAAGGACCGCGAAGAGGAGAGTCGCCAGAAGTTCGAACCACCGTCACCACTTCAGGAGCTCCACGATAGAATTCCCAAGAAGATCGAATTTTCTTCAAGTGTCCGTGAAGCCCCCGAAATAGTAGGGCTGGAGAAGAAGAAGTTGCGGTCTCGAGTGAAAATAACGGACAGTTTTCTAGAACATTTCGACGTGTGCGCTGCCGGAATGTACGTAGGGAAGGAAGAAAGAATATCGTACTATGAGCGCCTCCCCCTCGTGGCGTCACCATTAGCCACTGTGCCGGTGTTGGACGAGGGCCTGCGTGCCCTCAACTACAGGTTACCTCTGGACGAGTCCTCGATGGTTGCGGATTCAGAATGCGTCATGAATGCTCTGAACCTGCTTGCCATCAGTCGCAATGAGGCAGCGGAGCAGCGCCTGGATCGAGCAGACTCGTACGTAAAGCAAGCAATGGAAATACTCGGTATTGCTTTACACGACCTCAACGTTCGGCGCAGAGAACGTTTCTTCAGGTAGTCTCTTTGCTGTCGATAGGCTCTCGACTAATTTCAAGTCTTTCCATTGCAGGAGCTATGGCGTAGATCCGGCGAGATCTGTACCGAATTACCGTCGTCTACCAATCGAGGTGCCGACCCGATCCGCCGATAAGCCGTGGAACGAGTTCGCTGGTGGTCTGATTGGGCCCAAGTTGGCCACCGAGGTGGTAGAGAAGACTCAGTGTCAGCGTCTCACTGAGGCTCTGCGGAAAGAACGCAGATCGATCCACCACAAAAAAGAGCGGACGTATAAGAGACACCACAGTCATTCGAGGAAAAAGGAGAAGAGCCATGAATCGAGGTTGGTTTTCTCTAGACTTATGTCTCGAGTAGGCCCGACGAGTAGCATCGTAGCAGGGAGATTCCATGTTTTTGCTAAAGAATGGAATTCTTTAAAAATCGATGCCTGGGCCCGAGAAACCTTGCGCGGCTATAAGTTAGTGTTCACAGGGACCCCACCCCAATTACGGCGACACACTTTTCATGAAAGAACACATTCAGCCGCTGTGGGCGAAGAGGTGCTTAAAATGCTAAATAAAGGCGCAATCGAAGTTGTAGATTGGCACGAAAGGGTCTGGATATCAAGCATTTTTTGCATTCCAAAGAAAGACGGTTCCCACCGCCCTATTCATAAATCTCAAGCCACTTAACAAGTTTATCGCCCACGTTCACTTTAAGCTCGAATCCTTGGAAATGATTAGAGACTTAGTCAACCCGGGTTCGTATATGGCCAAAGTGGATATGAAGGACGCGTACTTTGCGGTCCCCATCCATAAAGACTACCGAAACTACTTATGCTTTCAATTTGAAAACAGACTGTTTCGGTTCAGGGCCCTTCCATTCGGTTTGTCTTCGGCACCATACGTTTACACCCGACTGACTAAGCATGTGGCATCAGCCTTAAGGCAACAGGGTATAAAGTTACTGGTCTATTTGGATGACTGGATCTTCATTGCGGATACTGCCGAGCATCTAAGACGGGACCTATCACGCGCCATCGCCTTGTTTGAGAAGCTAGGATTTTTGATCAACTATCAGAAGTCCGCGCTCACTCCCTCGCAGTGCATAGACTTCCTTGGCATAACCATTGACACGGTTAAATACCGTTTCGTGGTGCCGCCACAGAAGGTCTTGAGATGTCGCCAGGAAGCCTTGGAGCTCATTAACCGTAGAACGGTCACACTGAGGGAGGCGGCAGAATTTGTGGGCAGGGTGGTAGCATTGTCGATTGCTAACAGACTATCCATTCACTTCATTAGAAGCCTGCAAAACTGGATAAAGGGCTATGGGCCCACCTGCTTCTCGGAATACCAACAGAAAGCCGCTCTTCCGTGTAAATGTCTGGAGGACTTGACATGGTTCACTACAGACTTCTCACGGTTTTGCTATGAACCAATCGTTTTAAGTGCGCCAACGTTAACGATTGTTTCAGACGCTTCAAACTTAGGGTGGGGAGCAAAATGTGGCGAAGATTTTGCGAGCGGTAGGTGGCGCAGAGAGGAGGAAATCCTCCATATAAATGAGAAGGAGTTGGTTGCCTGCTTCTTTGGCATCAGGTGTTTCGCGACACACCTAAGGGAGGCATCCATCCGGGTGGAGATGGACAACACCTCTGCTGTTTGGTACCTAAACAAGAGGGGAGGTACGAAGGAGTCGCGGGTTGAACCTAATCGCTCGTAGGATAGCCATTTGGGCAGCCAGGCGTAGGATACAGATCATAGCTGTTTACAGAGCGGGAGCAAGCAACAATGAAGCGGACTTTCTGTCTAGGAATTTTTCGGACAGTTCCGAATACTCCCTAGACAAAGAAAGTAGTGCAGTCTCTGTTTCAAAAATGGGGCACTCCCGACATAGATCTCTTTGCTTCTCGCGTTAACTTCAAATGTGAGAAATTCTTCTCCTTTCTTCCAGACCCATTGTGCTCGGCAGTAGACGCGTTCAAGCAAACATGGTCGGAGATCTACGCCTACGCATTTCCACCCTTCAACATGGTCGGTCGCGTAGTCAGCAAAGCTGCTCGAGAGCGAACAAAGCTGATCCTTGTGTGTCCAGTCTGGCCAAGTCAGCCTTGGTGGCCGCTGGTTCGGCAGCACACCCGAGACCTTGTGCAGTTAGACAGACGACCGAACCTGCTGCTGGACCCGGCAGGACGACCGCACCCTTGTCTTCGGAAGAAGACGTTCAAACTCATCGCATGTCTCATTTAATGAGGTCCTGGAGAGAATCTTGGCCTCTATACTAGCGCCGTTAATGTGCTCATGGCAAATTGGTCCGATGCCACAGTGAAGCAGTATGACACGGCCCTAGAAGAAATGGTCCTCATTCTGCTCACTTCGAAACATTAACGCTCTCAGGCCCAAAATTCAGGACATCATAAATTTTCTATCCAAGATGTATATCAATGGGGCATGCTTCTCAACAGTGAACACCACAAGTCAGCGATAATAATCTACCTAGAGAGCAGGTCGGGCCCAAATTGAGCGAGGATGACAAACTCCTCCTGACAAAATTTATGAAGGGACTGTTCAGGCTGCGCCCCTCAAAACCACGATACAACACAGTGTGGGACGTGTCGCAGGTAATACGACACATTGAGAGTCTGGGCGACAACGAGCACCTATCCATCCGACAGCTTACCCTGAAACTCACTATGCTGCTAGCTTTAGCTTCGCCAAAGAGAGTTTCGGAATTAGCTGCTTTGAGTCTGGAATCACTTCAGCAAGGCGATTCAAAATGGGTGTTCAGACTCGACTACATGAATAAAAACCGTCGGATAGGATCGAGTGCTCATTCTGCAGTCTTCACATCCTTCACGGAGAATCCTCGGCTCTGCCCCATAGAAACCATGAAGGTCATACATCTCTAGGACTGTAATGCACCGCTTCCAGGCCAAGCGCTTACTGATCTCTTATCAGAGACCATACGCCGCCATAACGGCCACAACGGTGTCCCGCTGGCTGAAGGACATGCTGGTGGATGCGGGAGTAGGCTCATGTTTTGGCGCTCATTCAACTAGGGCAGCGGCTACGACAGCAGCGAAGCTGAGAGGAGTGTCCTCGAAAGCAATCATGGAAGCCGCCAACTGGGCGCCAGGAGGGTCCACCTTCGAGCGGTTTTACTTCAAGGACCCCTCAGAGTCTTTCCAGAATTCCATTCTGGCAGAAACGTAGGTTGAAGAAGCAAACGTAATTGATAAGAGCAGTGTTATATAATTGCTTATTTTACTAGACAACGAAGTTGTTGAAGTAAAATATTTATTATATTAACTGCGATTATCAATTACAGTTACCCACCCGCTACGCTTCCCAACCCGAGCTTATTATCCGTTTCACAGCCAGAATAGAGTTCTTTTCAGATCGAAATCCACCAGACCCCAATCGCCTCGCTCCACAAGCAGCGCACCGAAAAAGCAGGAGCGCTCAAAAAAGGAGACCAAGAAGAGTTAGAGGCGATCTCGCCAGAATTTGAAGCATTTCTCACCTTGATGTTGTGTTGTGTTAATTAACACGCCAGATAAAGAGATCTATGCGGAAGTGTGTTTCCGGCAACAACAACCAGTTGCTCTCTCTAGAAGAGGCAACTGAAGTGTCCTGATCCTTTTCGGCCACACACCAAGGTTTTTGGCGGGAAAAGATCAAACACTTGATCGTGAAGATCAACTAGAGAAGACAGGAGCTGATAAGGCAAAAGCAAACGTAATTGATAATCGCAGTTAATATAATAAATATTTTACTTCAACAACTTCGTTGTCTAGTAAAATAAGCAATTATACAGTAAGCAAAGGAGCAATCGAATATCGATCTTTTTTTATCTTCCCATATATGTCATGCACAGCTTACTATTGCCTGGGAGTGAGCGTTCGTCAGGCAAAATACAATACTCAGGTCACAGCGGTTGCAGCAGCGCCTCATGTTCCGGCCCCAACTCTTTCGAAGAATGATACCGCCAGAAATTGAAAG